TCTCCTTTCCTACAACTACTGTTTTCCTACAACTTCAACCTTCTGGCTGTTTGTTCATTGAAATTCTCCTCATGATCAGCTATTCCCCATCCCAGCAAAGCTTCTCTTTGCTGCCATTAGGACTAGAAAGCCAGAGAGGATGTGAAAATTAAAATTGATTTCAACCTCTAAGCTTTCAGCCTAAACTGGAACATCAATCCAGAGGTTCCCAAAGAGAGCCTTGAACATCCCCACCTACTTGGAAATCATGTCAAGGGTCTCAGTGTTGCACTGAGGCGAGAGCAACAGCAGTTCCCAAACCTGCCTGAGCTGCTACTCCCACCCACAAAAGGCTACTAGTGATTAGCAGTCACTTAGCAGCAATCACAGCGTGCCCAAGCCCCCACCAGGATGGATTAATGGCAAGTTAATTCTTCCCAAGTTCCTGACTGCAGGAGAAATAACCAGAGGCAGGAGTATTGCTCTGACAGGACACTGAGATGTGGTGTCAACCAACACAGAATTTGGCTCACACCAGAAAACAGAGAGGACTCACCCATGTTTGTGAAACACAAATATCAATTCACATGTAGCTCAAGAAATTACTTTCTGTACATTTCTTTAAAATAAATTATTTGCCCATCACATTCCCTATAAATGAAGTGCACAGTACCTCCCTCATTCAGCTTCACTTCCTCTTCTTTCTTTTCAGCTTTTTTGCCACCAGGCTTAATGTTTGCAGTAAATTAGAAGAAAACAAATGTCAGTGTTATTTTAATATATTCTCAGAGGTGTATAACTCTATAAATTTGCCCTTCAAATGTGATCCCTGAATTAATATTTTAGACTCCCTGCACAGTGAATGAAACCCCCAGAATGGCAATAAACATTTTTGACTCAATTTTATTCTCATTTTCATGATGCAATATATGCTCTTACAATTAATATATTATTCTATGCTAGACATTCCCAAACATGGTCACAAACAGGACAACATTGTTTTTAATGTAGAAATTGAATAACAGGTAGATTGGCTAAGAAAGCAGATGTTATAACTTCAAATATTTTAGGAAATACTGGGAAATGTATTTTGGGGCAAGTCTGGCATTTACAAGCATCTAATTCAAAAGACAAGTAGCAAGGGTTCTCTTTTCTGTTATAAAATCCTCACTGCAACTCCAGACAGTCCACTATTCAACCTCTGGCCTAATCCTAGAAAAACTGTATTTTAAATCTGGATTTCTCAGAAATCAGTGTATCAATTCTTTGATGTCTGGGTATATAGTTTATAAAAATAAAAGACAAGGTAAGTAACATGCAAAATCTACTGTCATGTAACAGATGAACCAAAATAGAACACTGATTTTTGTCCTGTAATTCATAGCATTCACAGATTTCTCACGGATGATACACATAAAAATGTGATAATTGGATCTAAACTGCAAAATTAATTCACAGCCAACATTATTATTTACAAGTGGGGCAAATAAGGCTATTTTTTGTACACAGGAGGAAACAAACCATGATATTCTGCATTGTTTCCTCTACATGCTGGAGCCTAAGAGTGACAGCAGCCTAAACTCAGGTTGAAAGGCAAGGTACTGATGAAAAAAAATACACCAAGGAAATACATCCTGATCCTTTTTCATGCATGAAGTGTGTTATAAATACTGTTATTTCATACTTTGATTCTGATTTCAGATATAAATAACTACATGGAAAGGTCTTCACTTTACACTACTTTGCGTGGCAGTAAATATATAGATAAGGGTGACTTTGAATACAGAGGTTATCATGAAGCTGGAACAAAAACAATGGGAACAATTTAGTGCCAACAACACACATAGAACCACCAGAGTTTGAGGGCATCTTATCACGTTTGTTACCAAAGCATTTCTTTGCAAAATTATCCTGAAATAGAATCAGTAAACCCCACAATTCTACCCATTAAGATTTCAGGGAAGAATTCAGGTGTTTTTTTTTTCACTTAAACAAACAAATAAATCTTTGATTATTTTCAGTGAAAAGGGAAATTTGCTTGTTTCAATTACTTGTAGTCACTTTTTACTCCATTTCTTTTCACATTCCTATGTCTTAACATAGCACTGACACGACTGAGATGCACAGCTGGGGAGGGGTGGGGGGTGGATAAATTCATTATTACTGAATTAAGAATAATCCATGGGATGAATTTATACAGTCCAGTTTCCCGTGGACTTCTGCCTGTTGTACCTCCACTCATCATACTCTGTGTCCAGTCTGTGGCTCAAATCACAGAACCACAGAATCACTGAGGTTGGAAAAGACCTGCAAGATCAGTGAGTCCACCCTGTGCTCAATGCCCACCTTGTCCCCCAGCCCAGAGCACTGAGTGCCACAGCCAGTTGTTCCCTGGACACCTCCAGGGATGGGGACTCCACAACCTCCCTGGGCAGCCCCTTCCAGGGCCTGACCGCCCTTTCTGTGAAGAAATTCCTCCTGATGTACGATCTGAAGACCTTCCCTGGTGCAGCCCGAGGCCAATTCCTCTCATCCTGTCCCTTGTTCCCTGGGAGCAGAGTCTGACCCCCCCTGGCTACAACCTCCTGTCAGGGAATTGCAGCGAATGAGAAGGTCCCTCCTGAGCCTCCTTTTCTCCAGGCTGAGCCCCCCCAGCTCCCTCAGTCCTGGAGATGCCTCTTCCTCTTTCAAATTCAATTAACCCTGAGCAGATAAAAAAAAATGCAGCAATGAACTAGAGCATGTTTCTGCCTACCTACCTTGTTCTTCGATTTTGGACCCTAAAAGATCAGGGGGGAAAAAAAAAAGTAAAGTGAACATCAGATAACAGGGGATCAACTATAAACGAATAATTAGAAAATACAACTATTCTGTAAAATTAGGTGAGGTTAACTATTGAAAAACTGTAATGACAATAACTTCAATACTGCAGAAAATTAGCCACCAACACATGACTACGGACCGCTATAATTTATCAGGCTAAATTACACTTATGATTAAAGAAGTGTATTTACTTATTCCCACTGTTAAAAAACTAATGCACATGAAATACATATTTTAGTGTAGGACATAGTTTAGTAAAATATTTTTCCAGTGTTTTCTGAATTCATCGACTGACACCGCTAAATCACATCGCTAAATCACATCGTGCAGTGTCACAGAACCACCACCGAGTTTTCTGCCATCAGCTGGGGAACCACACCCGGAGAAACGTAATTAGGGGACTTGCCCAAATAACTACAAGGAAACGAGAACAGATTCCAGAAAGCCGAACATCCAGCAGTAAATCCTTTCTTTACCAATTAACCTTTCCTGTGCAGCGCCCAAAACACCACCACGTGAATTCTCGTGACTGCAGGGCGATTAATTACCCACGCGGGAATACAAAAAGGGGAAGAAGGAGCAGGCAGGCTCCACTTAGGGATGGAGTTTGTCACCATGGAGCGGTTGTGGCAACAAAGCCCGAGCTCCCTCCGTCCCTCCCGGCCCGGTTTCACACCGAGAATCCACGGCACGGGACTGGGGACTCCAGAAAAAAACAAGTGGTATTTTTCAGTCTTAAATATTTTTTTAAAAATATATATATTCAAATATATATTTTTCCATGTACTTCAGATGATGGTCCAGCGCTGACCCACCCCACCACCTAATCCTTCCTCATCCCCACCACCTGACCCTTCCCTTCCCCGCCGCACCATCCCTCGGTGCCCGATCCCAGGAGGATCCCTCTCCCCGGCTGTCCCGATCCCAGCAGGATCCCTCTCCCCGGCTGTCCCGCTCCCAGCAGGATCCCTCTCCCCGGCTGCCCCGATCCCCGGATCTCCCCCGGCCGCTCCGCCCCCGGCTCATGCGCAGCCCGGGCGGCCCCGCCTGACGCGGCCTGGCGGCGGCTCCGGCCGGGAACGGCTCCGGCCGGGAGCGGGTGAGACCCTGGTCCGGCCTTCCCGGGATCGGGCTGGGAACCGGGAGCGGCTGGGGGGGGAGCGGGGCAGGAGACACCGGGATCGCGGGCACAGCGAAGGGGAGGCGGCGGCCCCCGGGCACGGCCCGGATAGAGGGGCCCGCGGGCCCCGGGGCTGGGCTGGAACCCAGGAATCCGGTCGTGTTTGTGGTTCGGTTTGGGATGCCCCTTTGTTTTTGGATCCCTGGAAGTGTCCAAGGTCAGCTCGGATGGGGCTCTGAGCAACTTGGGATAGCGGAAGGTGTCCCTGCCCGTGGCAGGGGGTTGGAACGAGACGGGCTTTAAGGTGTCCCCCAACCCAGGCCCTTCTGGGTTTACATAAATAAAAAACAACCACTTTGTTACTAACACATTAATTGTCTTTTTACCTTACGTTTTGCCAGCGTGAACTGGCCTCACTATTTAATGCACTTCAACACTTTTAAAGACTTTAAATTTAGGAAAATTTAGGAATGCAGCAGTTGCTGGAATTCATATATATATTTGTACATATATATATATAGGAATTCATATATATATATGTATAGATATATATGTATTATATATTTATGTATTATATCTATATATGTATTTAATATATTTATGTATTATATCTATATATGTATTTAATGTATTTATGTATTTTATATATTTGTATTTGCATTTTATGAATATATGTATTATATATATGCATTACACATGTATGTATGTATATATATGTACATATATATGTATGTAAATATATAATGCACAGATTTATTAACTATACAAAATGTATTTGAATATACAATATATGAATATAGAATCTATAATATATAAATATATGGACTTACGTAAAAATGCACAAATACATAAAATACATAAATCCAAATAACCATTATTATAAATATTATGACTATTATAATAAATATAACTGTTAAATATAATGTAGAATATGTAAATATATATTCAATATAAATACATCTAATGTTAGTATATTTAATAATATATTTAATATTAAGAAATAGATATTATAAATATATTTTTTGTATATTTAGCACTGTATATATGAAGCTATGGTTCTTTAGCAGACCACAGAGAAGCTGCCAGGCCAGCAGGTAGAGGGACTGTGAGGATGTAAGAAAGCAGCTGATGAGCAGCACAAAGTGCCACAGTGGTTGAAAGTTTTTGGAAGTTTCTTGTTTTCTGTTAGAGGTGAGAGAGGAGAAGAGAAAGAGCAGCTAAATGGAACAAAAATTAGGAAGCCAAAAGTGGAAGAGACAGAGTAGAACCAGAAAATAAGTAGTCAGAGCCAAGGGGGCTCAGTAGGGAGCCCTAGGGAGGAGGAGGCTGGGGTTTGCTGACTCCCAGGGAAGGCTAATGTCCAACTGATTATCCCTCAGGTAAAAAAACCAAACAAACCCAAAAATCAGACAAGAATAACGAGTTCACCGAAATGTGAGAATGGCCAATTCTTTAAGAGGTGAAGTGGTGAGACTGTACAAAAATGTAAGTGTCTTAAAAGCCACCAGCACTTTCCATAACCAGAAAATGAACCTCTTTCACTGCACACTCAGTTTATTAAAACCACATTTTTTTTTCCCCTCCAAGCTGCTGTACCTTGGAAGGGAGTATCCCAAAGGAGCAGACTACTTTAGAAGCCGTTTGAAAGCAGCTTTCCTAAAACACAAGGATGAGAAAGACCCTGAGAAAATTAAGCAACTGATTGCACGGGGTGAATTTGTTATAAAGGAGCTGGAGGCTTTGTACTTCCTGAGGAAATACCGAGCCATGAAACAGCGCTACTACAGCGATGACGACCAGTGACTGTGCATGCAACCAACACATCCACGAAAACTGACAATAAAGGAGATGTAGCCTCAAAAGAAACAAAATGTAAATCCTTCCAACCCCTCTAAGGTACAAATTAGGACTTTGCTTCCCCTCCAGCAGTTTTCACTAAAACTTCAGGTGTGAAACTTTGCGGGAAGGAGTGGTTGCACAGCTCTGTTCTGTTTCACTTCAAAATATATCTTTAACAGAAGCTCTTCTTACCCCATAATTGTGTTTGAATGTCAATTCAAAGTACTAATGCTTATTACTTGGAAGCTTAACCTGATAGTCCTCAGCATTAAATGATTGATTTCCACTCACCTTCTCCAAAGTAAAGTTCTGCACTCAGCCCTGGTGAGGCCACATTTGGAGAATCGTGTTCAGTTCTGTCTCCATAGTTCAAGAAAGACAAGGAGCTACTGGAGAGGGTCCAGCGGAGGCCACAAAGATATTTAGGGGTCTGGGAGTGTGTCTTATGAGGGGAAACTGCAGGAGCTGGGCCTGTTTATTCTGGAGAAGATGGAGGGGGATCTCAACAATGCATATAAATATCTCCGAGGTGGGTGTCAGAGGATGGTGCCAGATTCTGCTCAGTGGTGCCCAGTGACAGGATGAGGAGCAATGGCCACAAACTAAAACACAAGAAGTTCCACTTCAGCATGAGGAAGAACTTTGCACTGAGGGTGGCAGAGCCCTGGAACAGCTGCCCAGGGAGGGTGGGGAGTCTCCCTCTCTGGAGACATCCCAAACCCACCTGGAGATGTTCCTGTGTTCCCTGCTCCAGGTGACCCTTCCTTGGCAGGGAGGTTGGACTGGATGATCTCCAGAGGTTGTTTCCAACCCTGACAATTCTGTGATTCTCTGAAAGTCAATTCTTAAAGCTTTTAACCTCATCTGCTTCACTTGCAGAGGCACCACCTTCCTGTGTTAGGAGGACGACTTCGGGGTCAGGAAAGGGGTGAGTTTGAACAACAGTGGTTTAAGCACTTGGGCCCTGAAGGCAGTTTCTGCTACTGCTGATTTCTGGTGTTGTGTATCTGCTGCAGCAGGAATGGATAACTTGATCTTTGCCCTGGGAAGAGAAGTTTGGCCATGGCTGTTTGCTCCAGGGTATCTCTGCAGGCCTTGGCTCGACTCACACAGACTTGTGCCAGATCTGATACTCTGTACATTGTAGGGTTGGTTGGTGTTTCCACCAACTAAACAGTGCTGGAGATAGAAATAATCTTTGAAATATAGGTAAGGAATCACTGCAGCAGAGCTGTTGGCAGTAGCAAGTTGTCACACTGTCACAAATCAGTATTTTAGGGTCACTGAAAGAACTGCAGACACAGGTTTAATATAAGTCCACTGGCAAAATTCACTCTACTACTCACTAGATGGTTAAAGCATAGAGAGAAAAAGGAAACTGAAGTCTAAAAATAATCAATCTAAACCTAAAATCAACCAAAAATTATCTATGTGAAGGGTGAGAATGGGAAAGGGTAAGAATAAAAGGAGTAAGGGAGATCCTCCTGTGGAGTCACAATGTTCAGACTGGACCTCCTTGCCAGAATTAGCCCTGCACTTGATCAACGGTTTAGGCCTAAACTTAAGAGCACTTAATTGATAGCTTGATTTAAACAATTTAACAAAAGGCTCCTACAGAATTTACTGTAAGCACAACAGTAACTCATAGGCCTATTTTATTCACGAATCCGAAGTACTTAAGAATTTAGGAGAGCAACGTTCATGGTACATTTGCTGTAGGATATCCACACTCACACAGACCTAAAGGAGTATGTAGGAAGTATATACCTGTGAAAAATTCCCCTGGAATTCAGTGCTATTGCTCCTCCAAATACAGCAAACCGGAGAGTTCACTGGCTCTGGAGGCCCCACTCAGAGGGGGGTGCTGGTGTGTTCCAGGAGAGCTCCAAGGGTCTCCCTCAGGACTGCTGCTTACAGATCCACAAGAGAGCTGGATTTAGTCACAGGAATTTTCCATCCTAACCACAATTTGGGTCGGTAACTTTCTTTGAAAGCTTGACAACAGAAATGTCGCTCCACTTGGGATGTTACTCAGGCAAGAAAGATACGTTTCCAAGGCTGGTTAAAAACCAGAAGCTCGCTAAGACAGCTGGGAACAGTGTTCCTGGTAAGCTCAGGAGGAGCTCAGCCCAGGCACTCCTTGTCAAGGCTTAACCAGCATTTCTGAGATCACTCCTGAGGAGGAGGCAGTGGGAGGGATTCACTCACTACCACACAAAATTCACACACAAAATCCTGGAAGACGATTTAAAAACCGACGGCAGGGTACACTGCCTTGTGACAAAACTGCACTTCAGTTTCTAGTGCCACACCGATGTGAAAAACAGCCCTTGCACATCAAATGAGCTCCTCGGAAATAAAGATGCAGTTACACCTTCCCTGGGAGAGGCAGGGAACACCCAGGGGCAGGGACAGCAGCTTTGGGACAGGCAGCACCGGAAGAAATGCAAGACATAAAGGGAGAACAACTGCCAAACACACACAGTTCGTGGGATGCACCATTACCGAGATGAAGCACCGAAATTCTTGCAGAGAAAAAGGAAGCTGGGACAGAAACTCACAATAACTATTTTTTATTACATTACAATAAATAGGAGCAGTACAGTTTGACAAAAAAATGACAAATTCCAGATCACCTCACAGCACATACTCCTAAAAACATTAAAAATTTTAAAACAAACAGTGGTCTTTTTTTTTTTCCTTTTTTTTAACTTAATGTCTGGCATGACCAACATTCCGAGGTCACACAACCAAATTATGGAAAAACTGGATCACACTGCATATGTTCCACATCAAATAAAGCACAATGTACAAAATGTGCATGTTTCAGTTTACACTATACAAAAATAGTTAAAATACATTCCAGGTAAACATATTACATTAAGAAGTCATTCTAGTAAGAAGTTGGCACTCAAGAGGAAAAAGCAGAAGTATTTTCAACATGAAAACAACAAGACAGTGGAATAAAGAAATGTTAGGAAAGATTTACCATCTATGTAGCTTTATGTAAACTTGAGACAAAATGATTTGTTTTACAGTTTGATGGTCTTTGAAGGTAATAATTGTATTGCTTCATAGTATAGACAAGAGCAGAAGATTGTGTGTGTCAGTATTTACCCATTTCAGAGATCCTGTTACCGTGACCAAGTCCACACTTCTCAGTTAGCAAAAAAGTTTAGGGCAATGAAACTGGTCAGAATAATTGAGTTTGGAGCAAACCAATGCTACAGGTGTTTAGCAGGGTTACATAAAGCTACCGTAAGAAGGTGTTACTCCCTGACACATGGCAGTTCCACTTGGTAACGTGGTCAGTGACTCACAAGGTCATTCAGTAGTTGCTCTCAGGACAGACAAGCACCCAGGGATGTTTTGGGAAAGCATCTCAGGTAGGGCAAGACTATAAGGAAGGGATCAACTTGTGCAAGCTGCAGTCCAACATGCTTCACCAAATCACAATACCAAGACAGAACTGCACAACGGCGGCAAGGATGTGGTTTGGGGTTGGTTTTGTTTTTTTAGTAAATAAGGGCTAATCTAAATGGATTTTGTACTAATTTAATCAGACTGGCAGCTACAGATCACATTTGCTGAAAAAAACCCCAACACTGGCTTACATATAGCTTTATAGTAGAGCTATATAAATCCACATTTGATGAATAAGACATTTCAGCTACAATTTCCTAACAGTATTTAGTTAAATTAACGTCAGAATTTTAGACCAGCCCTAATTTTACATGCAGTGTGACTCAGTTACCAAAATTAAAGCAACCTTAAGATTACTTCCATTTGCTCAAGGCATACTGTCAACTTTTGCTACATTCTCCGTGTATAGTCAAGAGTGTCTAAAATGTGCAAATAACTGTCTCCAACACATTTTAACCCTGGAAGCTCTGGAATACTTTGTGACATCAAGAATCTGTTCTTATTGGTCCTTACAATATAACATTAGGTTCTTCTGTTGCTGTTTTTCAGAATGTTTCATTATCTACGTTTCACATTGAAGCTGAAAGGAGGGAAGGGGGCTTTGGGTTTTGGGGAATGGGGGGCACAGGCAAGGAAAGGCATGATTTCCCTCAGCCAAATTAAAGAACATGCAGGATGTGTTCCCTGCCAGCTTTGCAGCTCTCCACCTCCAACAGTCACTCTGGGATTTTTTTTGTAGAAGCAAAATAATACTTTTCTCAGGCAGCTGCACCTTTGGCATCACAGAAATGGTCCAAGTTACACAGTGCAATTTTTACATACCTGTGTAAAATTTCCATGGAATTGTTTTGGTGTACCTTAGGGCAATGCTGCTCTTCCCTGTTCCCAGCTTTCCAGTCCAGTGTCCTGAACTATCCTACTTCAACATCCTGTGTCTTATTATTTGGGTACACCAGAGCCACATCTTCAAATGTTCCTCTGCAGCTGAGTTTGGCTACTATGAAGTGAACCTTCAGGGACCAAAGCTCTAATGGAACAAACAACTCCACATTTACAGTGAGACAACAGGAACTGGCAACACTGGGACTACTGGCTCGTGCTTCAGTGCAGAATAACTAGGCTACTGCAGTACCAAAAACTGAAAGCTCCTGCAAAAATCCTGCATTAATTCCAATCAGAAAACAAAAAAACAAAAAAAAAAGGAGGGGAAAGGGAAAACAAAATCACAAGAGAACTTAATCACAGAGAAAGACAACATTAAAATCTTGGCCTAGCTTCATGATAGACACTGGAATGCCACTCACCAACCATTAAATCTGTGCAACAAAACTAGTACTTCACGGACATCACACAAACAACACTGACGCTGGAAACCATGCTGACAGTTTGTGCAAATTCCACACCCTTTCTATGGAATAGTGGATTCCCAAATTATTTGCATGAAGCAGCTAAATTCAACTCATTCATTCACTCATTTGATGTTACCAGAATTTAAGATTTCTCCCCTATTTTGCACAAAACTTGGGCATCTGGAAATATTTAATGCCACTCTTGGGGGGGGGGGGAAATAATGGTTTTACTCCACTATATAATTTAGGATTAATTCTGATTTAATTCTTACGGTAAATTCTGGGTCCATGTATGAACTAACCTAAGAATTTGAATCAACTTATCTGTTAAGGCTTTTTAGTATTTCCTAGAGACACTAAGGGTGAAATCCTGCACCTGCTGAACAAAGCTACTTAAAGGTTTGATGCTGGGGGGGATTTCACCTTG